GCCCTTTTGGGCCAAAGAGGGTTCTTCCCTTGGCTTCCCTTTAAAACCAACCAAGGGGCGGAACCTGCTCCAGAAACTCCGTCTAGTTGGAGTTCCCTCATGTCTATTTGAGATCCCTCATTTACAGATCAAAACGAGTCTTTTTGAGGTTACCCTAGTTTACACAGCGCCCATTTCAAAGGGAGACCTTTGCAGGCTTCTTCCCAAATTATCACCAGCTCGCCTTGGGTAACGATCTCAGCCCCTGCTCCAGGGCGTGTTTTTGTTTTTTTTGTTTTTCCATTTCCGGTGTGGTAATCAGGAAGCAATGCCCGAAAGAACTGTCCCGCTCAAAAAAGACAACACAAAGGGTTTTCCTGAAAGTGTGGGGACAGACAGCAAGGGCGTCCCAACCTACCTTTTCAATCAGACGGTTTTTGCTGCTGAAATCTTAACTAACGAGGGTTCTTGATGTCTATCTCTACTTCGGAATTCATGTGTCTTGTTTGTGGAAACATATTATTCACTCACAGGCCCTTCTTTAGTGCTTGAAGTCTCTACAGGAATTACTAGTGTATTATTGTGTTTGTTGCATTCCTATCTTCATCACAATCGTTTTTGATCGTTTCTATTCATTTATTAATATTCAATCTTTGCCGGATCCAGCCGGTGGAATACACGAGAGTGCGAGCCAGACAAACGGTATTTTATTTTGTCACATTCTAAGTTGTAATGAGAAGGTTTCCCAGAATCCAGACAGGTAGGTTACTTGAATCAGCTCCATCACTATGCCTTGGAATGTGAAACTTCGACACTTTACAATTCTAGAAATCAAAAGTATCGATAAACCCAATCCATTATTCTGTTGATTCTATGTTGTTTCTTTAATCTCCTATCTTATCTTCTCCTAGACTTGTGTATTTGTGTTTCATACTCTATCATTGTCATAGTGTGAATATAAAATACATATATAAATAGCGTGCTGAAATTCTGAATAGGCAGCAACATGAAAAAGTACTCGTTTGATATGACAGCGGTTCATGAGATTAGATTATTCGCTTCCGTTCCGTCTTTCGTGCCCTCAAGAGCCTGACCAACCAGCATGTTTTAATAACATCAAGGAGACGGAGAAGCAACAAATAGACACACGACACCATGTAAAGGAAAGGTTAAAACGACACTGATGAAAGAAACGACAATACGAACACTATTGATAAGACACATTGAGGCCGGGAGGCCCCAAATTCTTGGGCTTTCTTTGTTCTTCCCTCACCTGAAAAGGGTAGCAACTCAAACCTCAATCCCATCCTTTGCGGCTTTCCGATAGCCCGCGTCCGAGAACCACTCAGCCTAGGGCCGATCGAGCCGCAAGCGCAGAGTTTTCTTCCGAGGACGCGGGGAAAGAACTCCAGTACCTCATCACCTCGCTGCCGTCCAGCGGCAGCTTGTGCGCGAGGGAAGAGAGAGCAAACGAGAGCCCAGAGGAGATTAGGACCATTTCAGCGGATTTCACGCTTGGAATCAAAAAAAAATTGTTGGACCCAGAAACACAGTTGAGACCAATAGTCGGGCGTCCCGGACACGGAGCCGGAATGGCACAGGGTGTCTCAAAGTCCCACAATGATAATAATAATAACAAAAATAATAATAATAACAATAATAATAATAGCAATAATAATCATAATAATAAATAATAATAATAATCATATATATATATATATATATAATATACATACATCATCAACATGGGCGTTTCAATTTCCCTGCATTCCTCCAACCAGGTGATCCAAATCCCATGCTTGACCCAAGATGTCCCCCAACCGCATGCACTAGTCCAGAAAAGGGGCCAAACTACCGCTGTTCGTTTCATCAACCCCTTCGCCATTTTTGGACAATGAAGGAACCTTCACCAACTTGTGCAGGGAGGAACATTTGTTGGGAGGAAAGAACAGATTGGAACCAATTGTTAGGGAAGAACCATTTTTGGACAATGAAGGAGTCTTCACCAAGTAGCCAGAAGGACACTTGTTCGCAGGGACAGATCCAATTTTTAGGGAACCTTGAGCGCAGCCTTAGAGGTACGAGACGTCGCAGAACTATCGAACCTATGGCACAGATCCCAAGTATGCTGCCACGTCCATCAAGGAGCGGGAGGTCTCTGAGGGAAGACCAAAACTGACCCCGTGATCTTACGCCACCGAAGTCACCCCCCAGTTTTTTGGGCAAACCCTTATTTTGGCACCGAAGTCACCCCAAGAGAAAGAAAACCACCAACCAGTTTCTGACTTTCACAACCTCCAGAACTGGCCCCATGATCTTACGCCACTATCAAAGTCACCCCCGAAGTGATGGGTAAAAGCGGAACCACCAACCAGCTTTTGGGTTTGAAAACCCCCCAGAAATGTTCGAAATAATGACCCCAGGCAACAGGAAGGTTTCCTTCAGCAATTCAAGATTGGCACCTCTCGCCGATTGTCGAGTGTTTCCCACCAAGAGTTCCAGAAGATAGCAGTTCCTGCACTTACTTTCCATGAGTCGGTGGCTTTGTAAGAAGGCTTTGCTGTTTGTGCAGAGGCAACACTCGACTTCAGCAATGTCAAGTCAGAGGTGTCATCAGGGAATATGTTTCCATTTGAGCAGCGGTTTTTAATCAAATGAAAGGGTTTATACAAAAAGGGAACTGCATGTACTTTGCGGAGGCAATCCTGGTTGGGGGCGTAGGCTCGCGTAGGCTTCTGCGCGTAGGCTGTTGTGGCAGCGCTCGCGTAGGCTTTTCGCGTAGGCGTTTGAACAAATCATAGTTCAATGCTGTTTGCCAAGTATAGCGGTGTTGGCTTATTTTGCCATCCTTCCGTTTGTTCTGCAGTCTTCGCGTAGGCTCCGCGTAGGCCCCGCGTAGGCATTCGCGTAGGCTTTCAAGGCGTTTTTAAGAGTACGTAGACCTTTTCTAGCAGCCAAGTCCATCAACAGATGTGGGTTCTCAATGGTATTACAAAGGTCATCTCAGAGCTGGAGCTGCCAAAACTGCTCTCTTGTACGGAAAAGTTGCGATTTTCCAGTTGGAGCTGCCAAACTGCACTTCAGCACCTGGACTGAACATTTGCCCGCGTAGGCGTCCGCGTGGGCACCTGGAAGCTGACTTGTGCTCGCGTACAAAAAACCACTGCTCATTTAGGCGTTCGATGGAGTCCGTGTGGTAAAGACCCTAGCATCATATTGTCTGCCACTTGGTTGAATCTTTAGACTTCATTGTTGTCGAGAAGTCAAGTGGTTTTCCCACTCAATAGCAGACAGTGGGGACAATAGCCACAGAGTCATGAAAGCGGCATGAATGTGTGAACATGCCACAGCATGTACCTTGAGAGCAACTTGTCTGGGGGGGTTGTGTTCTTCGACCGAATCCTCACAAGTACAGTTTGCGCATTCTGGCCCGCAAATATCAGACTGTCAATCGCAGGATTGACAGATCATCAGATTGGCAAAGAACAACCGGGGTCCTTCTTTGTGTTTCGTTATCATTGCAGGTGTATGACCGTGTCAAGTGCTTCCCACCCAGGCTTCCCTACAAACGCAATGCAACGTTTGGGGACACACATATTGCTTCTGTGAGAATTACCTGACCCTGTTTCTTTTCCCAACTTTTTTCGATGTCCGTTGTCATTTCCTACAAAAAGGGAGTTGTAATTCAAGAATTCAAGAAGCATTCTCCCTTTTGGGCTTGTGATTTTCGAAGGGTAGAGTGAAACCAAAGGAGCACCGATTTTTTTGAGGGGTCCAAGTGCGGTCTTTTTTATCCATGCCATTTGGCGCATACTGAATCATTTCGATGGTCCCTGTTCAGCTACGATTTCAATGGCCAGGACTACGAGCTTCCCTTCAAGCTCACAGACGCCTTGGGGCCCACGGCTCAACAGGTTCGTTGGAAGATCAGATGCTACGGCCGAGTTTCGTCTTTTGGCTGGGAAAAGGTTTACATACACGAGCCGTTTTTTTTTAGCTTCATGGCAACATCCTAATCCCTAATCGCTTCTATCCGGTGGTCGGTAATTCAGTGGGTCCGCGAGTCGGAGAGTCGGTGGACCGGTTGGTCGGTGGGTGGTTGGGTGCTTGGGTTGGTTGATCAGTAGGTGTGTGTTCATGTATTCGTGGGTCGTTGCGTTTGCTGAAGGAGGTTCAGCAAGCAGGGTGTTGCCAGCCGTGCATTGGTACATGGCCATTAACCAGGCTTTCCAAAGCTGTGAGCTGCGATTTACGTGCCAGGGTCAAACCGCCTTTGTTTCTTTGGTCAGTTCCGAGGATTATCAACCTCTTCACAGGGATTATTGACAACCACAAGCCAGCCCAGTGAATCCCAGATTGCCTTACAGTATACAGGTACGTGGATCCTCTGGGTAGAGCAAACATGACTGTCTCAGACCTGGAAAGACTTTCCTTTCAAACCAGCTTCCCCCCTGCACAACTAGAAAGTTTGATGAACGCTGTCATCGAACATTGTGTAGACTCTGACAATGATATGTCTGCTGTACCACGGACAAGGTGCTTTGCACATAGGCTGCAGTCCAACTCATTAATCTCCGGTGAGTGCCCGAGTTAAGCGCAATTATTGACATGACACTGTGCAGTTTGTATGATGTCAGCCACACGTCTTGCCTGCTTCGAGGCTCAGATTTCAGTTTCTTTTCACTTGGAACAAGCAAGCTTTTGGCGTAGGATATGATGCCTGTAAATAAATAAATAATACCTGTAGAAATATATATATATATATGGGCGGTGGGTCTGTTGCCGGTGCACATATCAACTAAAAACCAGAAGGCAGCTAGCAGAGACTTTGCATCCATCAGCCAACTCCTTTTTGAATGACCCAGCAGTCGGTACCCGACTTAAGGTGACACGTACAACATTGTTCGCTTGATTTCTGTGTGACAAATTCACATCAACTAGAATGCAAGGAGAAAACCGGGACGTGATATGCGCTCCGCGCGTGTGTGTGTGTGTGTCCTCAGGGTTGCAGCGTCCCAGCGATGAAGTTTCCAAGCCGCTTGGGATGCACGGCTGCGCTGCTGTGCTGGATAGAGGTCCACTGCAACGACTTGGACGGCGTAGAGTTGTTGCAGGTCTCTTCCCGGGACTTTCTGTTTCTGGATTCCTATCCCAGGCAGTACGTCGCTCAACGCCTTGGCCCAGGGCAAGCGGTGGTTATCGATGGGAATCTCAATGAGTCTGTGTGGGAAGAGGTGCCGTTTACAGATACTGCCTTCCAGGACAGTCAAACGCATTCAACCGGTCCATCTAACACTCAGAAGCGAGCAAGCAATGCCCACGCTTACTTTTGAAACCCTTACCCAGCGTTTTAACTTAGAGCCCTAGAACCATGATGATGTTGCGTTTTTGGTGAAGCTGTAATATTACTTGCTGGTGCTCAGCAGGGAATGAGGGAATGACCCCAACCACCATCCTCTATGATCTCCTCGCAGGGAATCCCCAAACCCGCTTTATTCCCAAACCCCGGACTTGTTGTCATTCGCTACCTATTCCACCGGCAAGGTTCATGATGGAACACCCGCAAGAAATTGGGCTTCCAGTTATGAAAATTCCATGTTTAAATCCCAAACCCCGGAGGCATAGGTGTCCTTTTTGGTTGGTTTGCTTAAACAAATAGAGGGCCCTGTGCCAGGACATTGCCCAACCTCTTTTCCCCGACTACGTCTTGCCAAAGGAGTTTGCCACCCACGTCAAGGCGGGGCGTTTGACGCGTGCCTTCCCCGTCTCTTCCATTTCGCGAAATTCCCCAAAGCTCGGGTTGATTTGTGCAAGTTGGGTTTGGCGCCTTCCAGATGACTTCCATTTGCTTAATATTCTTTATTTATTTATTTATTTTCCATGTTGGTTTTAAAGGGAATCTATCAGTCTTGGAAATCTGTTAATGTTTTCCAGGGGTGTTAACCAAATGGAAGATTATGCGCTGTCTGGGCCCGTTCCCAAGATGTTTTGGAGCGTGCTGCTGAGGTGCGTTGGGACGCGGACTTCATGTACGTGGGAGCCTTTATTGGGGAGCCATGGGTGGAACAGGGCTTCGTGCGAGGGTCCAACCCCAGCCTCGCCAGTACGAATCCCATCAGCAACAGCAGCTTGGTCAATGATGAATCCTTTTGCATGTTTCGCTTGGCTAATGCTGGTAGAACAGCCGCAGTGACATCTTTGCGGCTCGCCAATCTCACATGCATCTTAATTCTCAAGTGGAACGTTGAGGCAACGTCCCGTACTATGACAATGACTTCGAGGTGTTCATTGACGTGTCAGGGTCGAACCACTGGTACAAGGAGTTCGAGATGAACTTCAACAACGCCACCTACGACGTGCTGTGGCGGGTGCCGGACACTGGCTTGGGGTCCACGGGCGTGCCATGCTGTGCAATCACCAGCTCCTCCTGTGAGAGGCGGCGTGGTCCTAAAATCGGGGGGAGCTTTCGTTGACCTTTTACATTCCCTGAAAAAGTCCCCTCAAACAAAGAGACTCAACATAAGAGACCCTTGTCCTAAAATTCGGGGGGAATCTCGGTTGCTTTCCTTTCGTTTCCCTTGAATCCCCTTGCATCCCCCTCAAACAAGGAGGTCCCTCAACATCACACAACCACACTGCAAGAGCATAAGCTCCTAAACTGAAACCTAAAGCGCCAGACCCAGGTACTGCATGAACTCCTCCTGGCCGCCCTTCGGTGGCACTTGGTCCATGTTTCCGCACATGAAGACGGCCACCGCGCGGGCCAGCGGCTGGGCCATCCCCGGCTGGACTGTGGAGATCGCCTTTCCCCTGCGCCCGTCGCAGGGCGTTGGGGGCTTGCTCTCGGCCGGGCACGGCACGTATATTGAGAACGCCGACCCCAATGCCGGCGCCAAGTGGCTCAGCAAGCTTTTACAAACTGGACTTGTGACCTGTTGGGTGCGAACTGTGGTCCATTGTTCTTTTTACTTCCATTTGCTTAAGAATATGCCTCTGTTTTGAATGGTGGCTTTAAAGGCAGTAAATCACTGGAAATAGGATCTTTCCTGCTTAAGGTTTAAGTGTCCATAGGGATTTTCTTCCGAAGGTTCACGGAAGTTCCGGTCGTGCTTTCTCCCCGTGAAGTTCGCTTCCTCACACACCTCGCCGCTGCGAGGTGTCTGGAAGAAGAGATTTCCTCTTGAGGCTTGTTGGGTGCCATAGTGAGAGGATCAAAGTCTTTCGCCCCATCCAGACTTCCGACATCTGAGTCCCCCGCCCCCTCTCTCCCATTCCCTCCCCAAGCTTTGAAAAATGAGTGCTAGTGGGAGGGGCAAACCAAAAACTGAGGGATTTGTTTTACGTAAACCAAAAAGCGCATTTCACCTCCAGCCAGCTTGCATCCAGATTCTGGTCTGTGGACTTCTCCCGGGCGGAGCATCCCTTCTTCACCTCCAACTCCTCGCTCTTCGGGCAGCTCTGTCCCTCGATCGGTGCGATAGGGAATGACAACGAGTCCGTTGGGAAGGGAATCTGTTTGGGGATTCTCGAAAAGAAAAATCCGGTGATTTTATTTCTCATTTCTTGCTGAGAACCGGCAAGATGAATATCGAACCCACGAGCCGGAATCGTTTTTTTGTTTTTTTGCCTGATGCTTCCTGTCATCGCCATAGGCTATATACATTTTGTAGTTTTTGGAAGCATTGGGGTGGGCATTATGAAACATAATCTGAATATGTGTTTTGCCGTGTGCCCGGCATTTGTGTTTGCCAAGGTCCCTCCATCCAAAAGACTCAGCCTACCTTGCTGGGGGATGACCAATGGAGCTGCTACTGGGAGTGGGTTTGGCAGGATTTGGGTGGGCACCGGTACATGCACAACCCCGACACTTTTGGCTTTCTGCAGTTCGCTCCTTTTGGTGGAGAGGAGCTGTGTGGCAATGTCCGGTGGCCTGCGAGGCGGGGGACGTTTGAAGACCGGGGGGGGGGGGGTGATCGATTTTCCATTTAAGGCCCCCAAATGACCATGGGCAACTTTGTCCAAGTTGGACATATAATTTGTTTCGTGGCTTTCCGCAACGGTGATCTCAAAGAACCTTTTGATCAACCCGCATTTGTTGAAACACCGCCCTCTTTCCAACTGTGCGCTGTCCATTGAAAAGTTGACACCTCCCGGCGGTTCCTTTTGCTTCCCCTTTGGGGCTACGTAGCATCCGGCGCTTTGAAACCTTGCTGCAAGGTATATCCTGGCACAGGTGTATCAGGCGCAAGTGGCATATGCCCAACGCTTCGGGAACTACAGCTCAAGGGTTTCATGGTGGTTGTTGGCAAACACTTTATACATGTTTGCTTATTGTGACGGTCCGCTGCACCGCACCGCTGTGCACGGACTGGGAAGCGCGTCAGAGTACATTGTGGTTTAGTGGTTGAAATCCTAATCCATGAATAACTGCTAAAAAATGATTTTTTGCTCCCCCTTCCAACGTTAACCAAGGTTTGGCCGTTGCTCGGGAGAGAGTTCTGCCGTTTGGACAACGGCTGCCATGCCCGCACGCTGCTGCAAGTTGCCACGAAGCGCAGCCAGATAAGGGGCGCAACCAGATAAGGGGCGCAACCCCGTGTTCTTGTCCTTTGTTTGGTCTGGGGTTCTCATGGTTATTCGAGCAACAAGCAAAGGGTGCCGTTTTTTTTTTTTTTTGAGCACTGTGCGCTGTACTGAGGAAGTACAGGGAGATTTACAATCTCAAGATTCTGGTGGACAATGAGGCCGCCACCTGTGTAAGGTACGCGACCAACAGCATCGGCTCCAACTACACCGGCGGCCCCTGCTTCAATGCTTCGGTGGATATGCGCATGCCAAGCTGGAGTGGACTGCACTCACGGGTGCACGCGCAGATCCGGGAGGATCGGTTGCTGGAAGTGGAGGTGACGGGCACACATGAGTGCTTGCCAATCGCGCGGAGGCCGCACGTTTTCTGAGGTCTTTGGCAACTGATGGAAGTGGCGCAAGAAAATCGCTGCGACCACCTTTCAGCATGCAAGTTGCCTGAGCGCTAGTCCGTAGCTTTCCCTTTTGAGGTCTGGCAGAGGCACAGTTAGCTGCACAGGGGGGGGGGGGGGGAAGCGGGTTGTCGAATCTAAACAAATCAGGTGGTTGCCCATTCCCTCACCAGAAGGTTACCCTCAAAAAGAAAGAGTCCCGACTCTGGGTGTTTTTTTTGGGGGAAGCTCAAAAGGAAGCAATCCATGCGGTATTCCTCAAGTTTCAGACACATCTGAGCCGCACAGCTTGAGTCAGGCCCTGTGCGCTGAGGCGAGTTGTGTACATCCCGCCCTCGGATGTGTTCCCCCCGGAGGGTCGCTGGGCTGCGCTCACCTATGAGGTCCAGGACGGGTTTTTCGGAGGACGGTTGACATGTGGCAGGCGTGGGGGGTGCGAAACTTGCGAAGCCCGCGGAGAAGGAGCGACACCAGTTTTGATATGTCATTCCTTTTTGAGATACTATAAGGTGCGATAGGTAGGAAATGAGAAATGGATTGAACCTGGGGATTCCCGAAGAAAGGAAACCACCACTTGGATGGTTTATTCTCTAGATCATTCCATTTATCATTCCCTGCAGCAAGTAAATAGCACGGAGTTGTTGTGCCCTAAAACCAGGCCAGAAGAGGATGGGTCATGTATAGTGATGGTATGTTTTTTCAGATTCCCTTGTTTAGCACCCAGAATCCATTCCCCCCCCCCAGAATGGCTTGACGGGCCTTTTCCGAAGAGCCTTTGGCACAGGTGATAGGTCTGCTAGGGGTCCTTTCGGACCATCGGTTCTTCCACTGGTTTCTGTTTGCTTCTTTCCAATCAGTCACTTCTCTGGGCCCAAATTAGATGCGACTCTGTTTCCAGACATGCTCCTTAAGTCATGATTGGATGCCTTGATTGCTATTGAGTTGGATCTTTAGACTTGAGCTTTCTGACTGCAATCCTTCGGCGGTTTTTCCGAAACCCCAAGTTGCTCAACAGCTTTTTGCGGAGGGCTCCTTCCGGCGCCATTCTTTCGCCTCCCCCCCAACAAAACAAAAAGCGAAAAGGCGGGGGGGGGGGGGAGGGCTGAGGGCTGAGGGGGGGGGAGTCAAGGCGTCAAGGCGTCAAGGCGTCTGGAGACTCAGGAGCCCCTGGCTGGCAACAAGTCGGAGCAGGGTCAGGTCTCCTTCAGCAGCTCGCGGCCCAGATCGTAGGACCGAAATTCTCGGGGATCTTGGGATCGTTGGTGTTCCTAGGCAGGGTGTTGTGGGAAATGGAATCCGCTTCTGTGATGCAACAAAAAGGGGCTTCCCAACGACTACCAGCCCATATAAAGGGGAGAATTCCTTGTATCACAGAAGTGGGAAGAAACCCCTTGATTCCACAACCCTGTTCCTAGGCGTTGTGACATCTCACATGCGCTGCTTCACTGCTTGCAGTGTTTTTTTGCAGCCAGAGGCAGCCGTCACAGTCACATACAATACTCAAGTGGTAAAGACCCTGCCATCAGTTTGGCGGCTATTCGGGAATGGGCCTTTGGACACTTTTTACTTTTGGGTTGAACCAGCTGGGATTTTCCGATTTGAACCCACAAACAGTTGACAACTTCTTGAAGAGGGGTCCTTGCAGCAGCCAAGGAAAAGGCTAGGGCTCAAAGTTACAAAGCAGGAGCAATCCGCAATTTGGTCAGTGTTTCCATTTGCCGTGCCATTCTGTGTGAGCCCAGCACTAGAAAGGTTCCCTATAACCAGCCAAAAAGGGGTCCATGTTGAGAACCGGTGGATTTGTCTATAAATGGGCCAAATCTCAGTCATCCTCATGTCTGTCTTGAGTGTGTGTCAAAATAGGAAAATCAATGTTGGTTTTGGTTTTCCCTTCGCCTTAAGAAGGGGCCCTGCGTTTTGTGGATGCTTCTGTTGTGACACCGAGACGAAAGACCAGGTCCCATCTTTCGAGGGTTCCTTCGAGAGCGACTTCGTTTAGCTCCTTTCGTTGAGCTGAGGTCTTCTTTTGGGGTTCTCAAGATTCTGATATTGCTTCCATCTGATATCTGGGTGCTTTGGGCAACTGAGCTTGTTGGTAAAGGTTACGGGTCCAAAACCGCAGGCCGTTGGTCTTGGGAAGGATTGCTCTACCTTGAAGAGTTGTTCGATCTATTTTTCCATCCGTGGATGCGTCCACGCTTGCAGCCGTCCATGCTCTATTTGTTGTTTGTCCATCAGTCAGCCATTATTAATCAGCCAAACTCGAGGAATAGGACATTGCTTGGATCTAAGACAGGACAGGCACAGACTCAGACGCAAGTAGTTTCCCCTTTTTCAATGGCGTTTCAAGCAAGGCTTGTCTCGCCGAATGACAAAAAAACGCCCAACTAGAGCCACTGAAGGGAAGCCTTACGTGGATAGCACAATTTGGAAGCGCGCAAGGGGGACAGCAAATTCTAAGCAATAAGTTGGACATTTTGCCATCTAGCAAGCAGGTGATGTTGAAGAACAACAACCCCCCCAAAAATCAAAAGTTGTGAACAGCCTAGACCTGCCGACTTATATTAAATCTCCCCCTAGGTCCCCCAGTAGTGCCCCGTTACCCTTTTTGGGGGGAGTGTTCCCCTACTCAAATAGACAAAACCGAAAAAGTAAAGGAAAACAAAACAAAAAAAAGCAAGAGGAAAACAAACAAGTGGGTACCAATTAATTCTAACCTCTCAAATCCGGAGGACTCAATCGCCCCACAAGGGTCACATCAGGTACCCAGCGAGCCACCGACGCTCTCCGCTTTCGCTGAGGTCCCTCCCAGCAGGTGGCTGCGTCCACCTTCGTTGGCGGCACCGATGCCTGACATCCCAGAAGCTGTCGCAGGGCCAACCTACCGCTGGGTGGTTCCTAGGCCTCCGGTTCCTTGGGAGTTTAGCTGCCTGGTTGGTTTGGTGATTGCTTTCCACTAACCAAAAGTGTTCGACTTCTAGCAGGGGATTGAGGGCAGCCCACTTGATCTGCACATCTCGTGAATGTGTGTTAATCTTTTGTTGAGTGTGTGTTCTGTTCAGTGAGGTGTTGGCTTTTTTTGTATTGTGTCACGCGTGTGAATTCGGAGGTGGTGCGTGCCAGTTGGAATGAACCTTTGCTGTTTGAAGGACCTGCTGAATTGCCTGCTGCGTGAGAATACGTTCCCCCTGATGAGGTCTCCCAGTGCCCTTTTAGCGCTTCTTTTTAGGTTGGGAGGGTTCCCCTACGAAAATAGACTACCCACAAAAAGTTGGTACCCTTATTCTATCCTCTCTACTGGAGGACCTAGATGGGGATCACTTCCAATTGCGAAGAGGTGATGTGCTGCCGCCAAGCATGCATCGTGTTGCGTTTGCTGATTCAATCCCCATCGGACTGCTTCGATTGTAGGCCCACAGATTTGCTCAGTACAGAGCGTATCATGTAGCTATATGCACTGCAATGTCAAGTGTTCAAAGACAGGCTGGATGATGATCAGAGCAGCCATGACTCATTTTTGTGTATTAATGACGACGGTCCCGGTTTCGGGTTTGCAAGGTCGTGATAAGCACAATCGAATGGGGACAAATTGCCAGCAGAGTTTGCCCCCATTTAGCCGGGTTTAACACATCTACGGAAGAAATTCGCCAATCAGGCCTTTGAGCTGTAACTAAAGGTGAGGCTGTTGGAGAAACGGTTTTGCACGCTGGCTTGCTGACAGGCATGAGGACTCATAGATATCATTGAGTTTTTAGATGAGACACAGTCTTGTTTTAGATGGTACCAGGTCACTTCGAAGAAGGCCTATGTTTCGGCCAGCGAGCATGCGTTGCTTGGGGCTTCGGACTTCAAAGTTGCGTGGGTCAGATCTTGAAGAGCCCTCCCTAAATGTGGAACCTACACGGGGCTTCCTTGAAGACCATGCTTGTAACAACCCCCCCGTGCAGGTTCCATGTTTTTGGGAGGGAAGTTTGAATTGATGTCCCACTATGTTTTGGGAGGGCCCCTTGATGGGACAGCATTTAGGGAACTGATGTCCACGAGTCTCCTTCCCTTTAAAAATGGGGTCATTACTCAAAATCATGGGGTCATGGACTCATTGTTCAAGGGCCATGGAGACTCCAGGCCACTTTCGAGGTCCTTCCGTACCTTGAAGCTTCCGAAGGGGCCACGTCCAGTCGGAGTTCGGTTTCTCGGAGTTCGGTTTCGGTTCGGCGAAAGGCTTGGACCATCTCGGGCAATAGCTACTCCAATGTCCCGACCTGGCAGGTGGGGGTCCGGGACATGCCTCGCGTAGACCTGTTATATATATATATATATGATGTATATTCCGAGCCACTGGGGGGTGAAAATTTAAGACCTGTTTGTTTTGTGTTTATATATACATACATATATACACTCCGAGCTGTGGGTGGGCTAATTTTAAGAGACCTTTTGGTGGACATGAGACTTCGGTGGGGATTTATGTACCACTTTGGAGGTGGCTCCCAATTAAATTTCATGGCCACTTGCGTATGTTTCAACGAATTGCGTCGGCTCATTCTATACTGCTCCTTTAAATGAAACCAGGCTGTGAGGCGGAAAAAAAGAGCAGCAAATCCAGCATCTCTTGCTGGCAAGTGCATGGGGAAACAGATCAGGCTTACGTTCCCATCCCGTACAAGCGAGGGAAGCAAAGCCTTGGACGCATGGTGTCCCTTTTCGCTAAGGGCGACCAAAACTTCCACATCTAGGAATGTTGCTGAGAGAAACCAAAAAGGGACTGAGGATGTTTCAGGGGCTGGGAAGACTTGCCTGGTCAGCTGGAATCTGCCGCCATCCCCGCTTCTTTTGCCAGGCGTTTGGGTGGGGGATCCTGAATCGATACATCTACGGCTGCCGGCTCAGAGGTCTGAACTGCTACCGACTTGACTAGTTGTAGGGCTTGCTTGGAAGACCGATATATCAAGCAGCGCAAAGCGCGCCGTGCCATGATTCAA